TGTGCCATATTCACTATAATTTTTCGTTCGGAATGTGCCGATACTTGGACCTGCGACTCACGGAATAATAGCACCGGCACACAAAATAAGTGGCGGGTGCTTTCAATCATTCGTTTGACTCGTACAAAATTTCGAGTAAATTGCGAAAATTGCTAATCTTTTTGCTATTTTTTCGGTTTTTCATAATTACTGTACGTCGAAATACATGTCGGTAGATGGGTCTGGTAAAAAGCACGCGACATTTTTTTTTTTAAACGATTTATGGACCTTACAAAAATTGCCAGATGGCCAGTATTAAAATATGAGAGGGTAGAATTCAAAATTTATCGCAAAAATTCAAAAGTTGTTTTAAAAGTGCAGTATTCGAATATGAAATGACTCTAATTTAATAGAAGTAATTTTTTAAAAGTGTCAGTAGTGCTGCCACTGAAACTCGAAGGGTTTTTATAATTATGCATATTCAAATTCTATATATATATATTCTATATATATATTCTATATATATATATATTCTAGCAATGCAAATGATGTTTAGTTGCAAAAGTTACCAAAATGAAATACAAGTTCCCAAGTTACCAAACCGTTTAAAAGTTACCAATTTTGGTAGAAATGTACCAATTGTGGCAACCATGTTCCCAACTTAACTCCAGTTTATTTACAAATATTAACTGGGTGCAACAACTAACTAACGAACGCGCACTTCGCGTACGAATGTATGGCAGGCGAAAGGTTGTGTTGGTTAAAGACAAAGTTTGGATAGCGGCGCTGTTAGCAATTTATTGTTGCTGGCATGCTGTCGTCTTTGTTGCATAGCGAAAATATGTAAATAGAGCTTCCTCAACAATGCTTGTGCATTGTACTCAAACTTTAATGTTATTTGAGTTGCATTCATGATATTCACACTGGGAAACTAGCAGCCACTAGAGTGCATGCATAGTTATAACTAACAAGCGCAGAACGTACATATTTATGTATGTAGGGTGGTCCAAAAATGCATTGGAAAATATAAGGTCGGAATTTGTATGCTCTTGATATCAAAAAAAAAATTTATAGGTCGCTTAAAGCGCTGAAAGTTTTCCATGTATTTTACTGACATTAGGGTGGTAGGGAGATCTGGTGGATAAGTACCAGAAGGGGTTAGCGTATTCTCGAGACAAGCACATCGATATAACATACTTTTAAATCCGACTGTAAATGCCGATTATATGAAAAAAAATATTCAAAAGGCAAACAAAAAGAAAAATGTGATACGGTCTAATGTGCATATCTAGTAGCTCTACTCTTGTAAGTTGGGGATTTTCTACTGTGTTTTGTGTTTTTATTTATTCATTTTTTTTTTTTACCACGGGGATTCCTCATACGCAGACACGCCCCCTTATTCACGCTCATTTTAGCATTGCACATTTCACCAGCTTCTTAAGTGCTTACATACATACATACATTTCACAGCACTTGTTGTGGCTGATATTGTTTATTTTTTTTAACGGCTATTAATCATATGAAACCTCAAATTTTCACTTTGCGTATGACAAATTGCACAAAAGCGGTTTAACCGTAGATGGGTTAAAAAAAAGTACGGCAGCATTTATTTTGGGAAATTTCGCAAATATGTATGTATCATTGTTATGAAAGAAGAGCGAAATGAACAAGTCATTTAGTCACACATTTGGTTAAAAAATTTGATATATTGTTAGCGATTAAAGGTAAACTTGTTAATAAGTTTAAAAAGGAAAGGTAAACTCTTAACTCTTTGAAATGATGGCACAAGTTAAGCGAACTTGATTGATTGTAAATATCATTTTTCGTTTTGCTTCCAAACTTATGAACAGGAGGTGAAATTTGTTTGTATAGTGGCTATGTTTGTTGCCATTTTACGCTAAAACGGGCTATACGCATTTCGATGAAGTTTGGCACACGCATAGATTTTTATCTAGATTAATATATAGCCATTTTTTTGAAGATAATTGTCACCTTTTTGAAAAGTTAAAATCAATTAATTTGTAAGTCCCATAAAATTTTAAATCAATGTCTGTGTCAAAAGCGGTTCAAAAACAATTTATGTGGGGAATATTTTCGGGAAGGGTTGCCAACTGTTTCAACAATTAAAATCAATTTAATTATTAAGTTAAAATAATTATTTTTTATATCGAAGTCAAAAGAAAGGAGCTTAAGAGAGCTCTATTTCGAAAACATTTTTGAAGACGGTTGCCACCTGTTTAGAAAATCAAAATAAATTTTGGTAATAAATTAAATCACACCCTTTAATATACATGCATACATAGTACGTATATGGGTGTGAATCGAAGAGTTTAAGACGGCCTATAAAGCGATGGAGATTCAAAAAGCTTTATTTCGAAAATATTTTCGGGAAGCGTTGCCACCGGTTCCAAAAGTAAGACACAATTTAATGAATTTAAACCTGTTAATATACATGCACACATATGTATGTAGGTGTCGAAAATCGAAAATAGTAAAAGAGTTTACTTATTTATATTTTAGAGCAGGGTGGCAACCTGAATTTATAATCAATTTAACTAACAATTCAAATGAAATATTTTAACCCGGGTATAAACGATGGAGATTTACAAAGCTTTATTTCGAGAATATTTTCGGGAAGTGTTGCCACCTGTTCCAATAGTTAAAAAAGTTTTAATTAACGAAGTAAATTAAGTAATTTTATATGAGTGTCACAAAAGAAAGGTTTAATACAGTTTTGTTTAGAAAAAATGTTTGAAGAGGTTCTAGACAGAGTTGCCAAGTGTTTGAAATTCATAATTAATTTGATTAGTAACTAAATTAATTTAAACCTTTTAATATACCTACATGCATACTGATTTGGCACAAAAATTTTAAATTTTCTGAAACATAATTTGTATCCCAGACATTCCAGGAATGGGAAATAGCGAGACTGGCTCGATTAAGGTAACCATCTGAGTAAGAGTAGAAACGCCATTTGTACGTAATTTATACGTGTCGTAAACAAAGTATTCAAATCGCGCAAAGAGAGTTTTCTCACAATGTACAAAGCGATCAGCTGGTCACTAGCTAGCTATGCGCTGTGGAGAAATCTATATACCTGCCGCAACACAGATCTAAGTCCGTACGACTACAGACTGCCATCTCAAGTCGTCCAAGCATCACCTTCACGAAGAAAGCCAGATGTAGGCGGTGAATGGTCACAGCACCTTGTTATTGTAGCTATTCTTCATCTCAACTCGCCATGTGGACCACGGCAACTACGTTCTGCTTCGAAACTGTACGTCCCCCCAACACTCGAAGACGGCACCTACACGACTGAATCTCTTGATATAGAGACGTACGTACACTATACATTGGACGCAGCGGCATACAGAGCATTGCAATGCAGTCAGCACAAAAGCCTCAGAACGCATAAGGTCAACATCTGTTTCGGACGCCGACCGCCGCCCATCAATATTGAGGAAACCGAACTGCCGAGAGAGAGATCAGATGCAGCCAAGCGCAACACCGCTATGGGTGGTGACACAGGCTTAACAGCTACCTTTTTCGGCTAATATCAAATGTGGGAAAAACTTGTCCAGAATGCGGGCAAGGTCCTCACAGCAACCAATATCTGCTTCCAACCCGATGGCCCTGACAGCGGAAGCATTATGGACTGTGCCAATCGACGTCACTGTGTCCCTCGGTTTCAGAGTTACCGAGTGAGACCATGAAGAAGACGATACATAACGACACTCGGTAGTGGTTGAGCACTGCTCGTACTACCACAACGTAGCTAGAAACCATACTACGCTCCTGATGTAACCGCAATGAAGTCGGTTAGGTCAAGGCCTTATTACAGTTAACTTACTGTGGTTTTCCTTTTATTTGACTTGGATTTATGGTCTCGAATGGAAGATCTTCTAATGCAGCTTCTAAAGAGATGGTCTTATTGAATAAGTCCTGTCTCAAAGCGTTTATTTAGAAGCACATCGCATTTAGGTGACTATGTGGATACTATTTTGAACAAGGGCAAAGCATATGGTTTTGACAACCTCGAACTAGTCTCGAAAGTTTCCTGAAATAGTATTCAACTAGTCCCGAAATGAACCAGAACTATTATCAAGATAATTCAAAACTAGTCCCAAATGATTCAGAACTATTCATAAAATCGGCCCAAAATGGTTCGGAACTAGTACCGAAATGTTCCTGAAATAGCTGCTAAATGGCCATGATATATTTGTACTTAACAGATCTCGAATTGAGCCCGAACTATACCAGAAATAAACCTGAAATAGTCCTGAGCAGGCCCCAAAACGGTGGAAAAATTCGTACATTTTTCCTGGAAAGACCTCGAATAAGTCTTGAAACGGTCCCTAAATGGTGGCTTGTTAGTCCCAAGATGAAACAAAACTGTTCCCAAAATTGTTTTGAAATAGCCCTGAACTAGACACGAAAAGATCCTCAAATAGTCGTGAACTAGTTCTGAAATGGTTCAGAAAAGGCCCCGAAACGGTGCCGAAATGATCCGGAAATAGTCCTGAAAAGGTGCCGAACAGGTTTCGAAATTATTTGTACACACAAGAAGCAATTACAGCTCTTCTGCCGGGTTACCAAGACGCAGTTACAAATTTTCCGCTGGGTTAACGCAAATTTTACCCATACCGGGAGCTAAGATATTTACACATCAAGAATTCGTCAACACCAAATACGGAAATTGTAAGTTCATTATCTTCCCTGCATACTACAATGAACATTTCAAACTACACGCCATTACTTGCTACCCCTATTTAAACAAAGTATTACCATATTTACGCCCCAATCAATGTTCTTAAAATTATCTATGCTAGATAATCTACAAAGTCAAGCAAAACACTTACAGTCGCCTCCAGATGTTTTTGCATTTGCTGTTAATGTTTGGTCGTTGAAACTCTTTAGCTTGCACGCACACACACACGCACACACAGCGCTCATCGTCGTACCATTCATTTACACAAAATACTATATGTATGTATGTCAAACTCTCCACTTGATCTTCTTTATTTTTTTTTTTTTTTTTTTTTTTGTTTTTGTTTTTGGTCCACTTCACTTCAGCGCACTCGAAATTCACATCCACTCAGAATGGAAATTTCCAACCGATGTCCCGCAATCAGCGCAAATCGGTGCCGTAAATACCACCACAACCACCGCCGCTGCCGCTGCCGTTCCCGCCGCAGTCGCTGCCATCATCACCATCTCCATTACCATTTGTATACTCATTAACACTGCCATTACGACTTTCGTAGTCATCCTCCCCCTCATCAGTCGCATTCGCATAATCACTGCTGCAGCCATCGTCGAGCAGCGTCACTTTTGGCGGTGGGCGATGGTGTGCTTGCTGGTGCTGGTGCTGGTGCTGATGCTGATGTTGTGTCTGCTGTTGTTGTTGCTGCTGCTGTTGCCTTGGGCTTTGCGCACATTGTGGTGAACATTGTGTTTGTTGATGTTGTTGGTTTTCCATGTACGGTTTCTCCATGTCCAGCGCTGCACCACTACAGCTACCATCGTTGACCGCAATCGTTATATTACAGCTGCCGGCGTGGTGCGCGCTCCCATGATGACCAGCGGCGGCGGCTGCTGCTTCACGCATTTGCTGTGCGGCCAAAATTTGCGCAGCACGTATATTGAGGTTAGGTGTGCGTACGCCAGGTGGCATTTGCGCCGAGGCCACGCTGATTGTGGGCGGCACATTTAACGCTGACCGACTAGCCGCGTGACTGCCACTGATGTTGTCTGCGCTGCTGCCACCACAATAATGGGCGCCAGTAATGTGGTAGGGCGTTGGGGAGTGATGTGATTGAACACCGTTGTGATTTCCATCGGCGCCAGGCAAGTGTTGTGGCGCCAACTGTATAGAATGATGGTCTTTGTGTTCTGCGAAATAGTGAAAAGTGAAAATGTTGGTGAATGAATATGAAAATACGCGAGCGGCGTTACACAGGTTTCAACAGCGATATAACATTTTGGTTGAATATTAACTTACCTAAGGCAGCTAGCAGTTTAGGTTGCAGTGGCAGCATAAAATCATGTCCTGTGGTGGCAGCGCGCGGCTGTAAACTCTGCACAGGCGGCACGCTCAAGTAGTCAGCTATGTGGAGCGGAAAAGACAAGAGGAATAACAAAATGTAAATTTAAAATTAAAGTTGAGAATTTTTGCATAAACTGGTTACCTATAAGAAATTTAAAGAAAATTGAATTTTTTTTTAAATTAATTTTTTTTTTTTATTATTTGTTAGAATGTTGGGTAGATACATTTCTTCCAACGTTAATAAAAAAGGCAGAGTTCAATAAAAAAAAAAAACTGTTAATGCATAACTAATTGCTGTCATGCATACCGTATGATAATTGCATAGTACATGCCGAAATACATACTTACTCGTACATTGTAAAGACGAAAGATATTGCGAATGAAAAAGTTAACTTATTCTGAATTTGATTTTTGAACAGGTGGCAATTCTCTTCCGAAATATTTTCGAGATAAACCTTTTCTCGTTTTCGTTCGGCCCCTGTATTCAACATTTTATTTAAGTAATAAATTAAATTGAATTTCACTTTTAAAAGAGGCAACCCTGTTGAAAATATTTTTGGAGCAAGCTCTATTAACCGTGTTTCGGTTGACATCTATGTTACAATATTTCATATAACTCACTGAATTTAACTTTTAAAAAGGTGGCAACCCTCTTCACAAATATTTTAGGAATAATAATAAATAATAAATTTAATAAATTAATTTACTTCAACGTTTAAACAGCTGGCAATCTTATAAAAAATATTTTCGAAATTAGGCTTTCTTAAACATCTCTGTTTGACTTCCGTTATAGTGCAATATTTCAGTAAGTTGGATTTGACTTTAAAACAGGTGGCAACCTTGTTAAAAAATGTTTTCAAAATAAAGCATTCTTCAAAGTTTTTTGTTTGTTATTAATATCAAACAGGTGGCAATTTCTCCAAAATATATTTTGCAAACAAAAACTTTGCTAAACCATTTTGGCTGGCTTTAAACTTGACAATTCAATTTAATTTAACCGTTTAAAACAAGTGGCAACCATCCTCACAAATATGTTCGAATTAAAGCTTTCCTTTATTTGGCATCCATACTTAGAATTAGAGTTTCAAACAGATGGCAACCCGCTTTAACAATATTTTCCAGATAAGGCTTTCTTATACATATTTCGTTTGGCACGCATACTAAAATTAGTTTTCCATTTAACTTAACAATTTAATTGAATCTGACATTTTTTTATTAATCGAATTAAATTTTTTCAAGATTTTAAAAAGAAAACCTAAGATCTTTTTCGGTTGGCAAGCTCACCCAGATCTCGTTAGTTTGCCAAATTCGTTGAACTTGCAATTAAAATTTTTTTAGCTTTTGGGGCGGGTGGCAACCCTCATTAAATAATATTTTACATGGCAGGTTTGGTTATATGGGCAGCTTTGATACGACTTCACTAGGAGCCTGCATAGGCCCAATGTTATGTGGCATAACTTATGCCCAAAAAAGGTTTCTCGTAAGCTGTCTAATCTTTCGAAGACGTGGTACCCAGGAGGCTTGGGTCGTTTTCTCTGGAATGCGTTTTTCCGTTTTGGGGGCGGTAACGTAATAAATCTTAAAAAAAAATTGTGTTTTCATGATGTCAGGTGTAACATTCAAACATCTTTAGAGTTAAATAAAGCATACCAAAACGGAGATGACTTATAAAAAAAAAAAAAAAATTGCCATTGCGTACCGTTCTTTGGTTGACAAAAAAATTAGTCGCGCTTGGAACACTGGTGTCGAGAAAATCTACGAAAAGGAGGTCATAACGGACGTGACAAAAACAGAAGTGGTTTCAGAGTACATCTAAAAATTAGCAAAACTCTGCGAATCCTGTGAGGTTTTCCTTTCTTAAACATTCTTTAGATAAAGGCAAATTACGGAGCATTACAGCCAATTCATTTTTAATCAGATGCAATTCGTTGTTGGTTTAATTTTGAATTAAAATGTGGTAACGGACGTTACATATCGGACCTGACAGATTTTTTCCCCGTACAATATTTTTACTATGAATACATATATAATTAAATTTTTTATTTTTATTTTTTTTTTAGTTATTTTCTCCACTGTCTCGCGTCTTCCAAACCTTTTTTCGCCCTCGAAATACGAAATTTAAAGTTATAAAGCCGTTTGAACTCATTTACTTGAATTTTCGGTTTACATTTTTATGGAGACACCTATCTACAAATTAAAAAAAAATAATTGTATGCAATTATCTTGCAAATATTTCAACCTTCAAAATTGACAAAAATGGGTACGATACAATTTCTAGAACGAAAAATGTTGAATTTTAAATATGGCAAGGTTCGGTAAATTGTCGTAAATCATCCCAACTTTAAACCTTCATAACTCTGAAAATAAATTCTTTTAATGAATTCCCGATAAATTTGTCGACTAACTTTCCAAGGAAATGCCGAAGAAAAATAGGCTTGGTGTCATTTAAAAAGCAATTTTTTTGTATGAAATCTTTACGACTTGTAAAAGAACGGCCCACATATAACCGATAAAGAGCGGCATTCCTCAAAGAATTGGGAAGCGAAATCGGAAAATGAAACTCCAAATCGTTTAGTACAATCATCTCTACCTTACAAGCCTTCCACAACAAAACCCAAGTGTTTCCTAATAGGTCAAAGAAATCAACACTTCACTTTCTTCTTTTGCATATCGAAACTCTGCAGCAACACAAGCCAACTGTAGGGGCCACATCCGTGTAAACACAAACGTGTAAATCATTTTTAGTTTTGGGAAGAGAGAGAACTCATAATGAGCCAAATTAGGTGAATGCGGTGGCTGATTCAACAAATGAACTCAGTTTCGATTCAAAAATTTACGCACAATGAGTGATGTGTTATACGGTGCTTTTTGACGAATAGCCGAGACCAACCTTTTGGATGGCGATTTTTATGTCGAATGCGACAAATTCTGGCCACTAATAACTTTTGAAGTTTGACCAAACTTTTTATAATAATCATAATAATAATAATAATAATAATAATTGCCTGCCGAGAGGCGACCGCTGTTAAGAAAAAACCTTTCTTGCATATTTTTTTGCGATGTTGCTTTAACCAGGGCTTGAACTCAGGCTATTTATTACGCGATTTATTTACATTTTCACTATAAAAAGCAAACACGTGTAATTGCAAATATCCTTCAGTCAATTCGACAGTGGTTGCAAATTATTTACGGATACTTAATATTCGTAAAAGAAAAAAACTGTAGGAAAATAAACAAATACATACATATGTAAGTATGTAGATATATGTACGTATAGGACGTAAACAGTGTTAATGAGGCAAGCCAATGTTGGCTGCGGTTAAAGATTCACAAGAAATATACAGAGCCAAAAAAAAAGAAAAAATTTACCGAAAAATAAACAGAAAACAAGTAACAGACAGACAGTGCAACAAACAAGCAAACACTGAGGAAATTAGCAAAAATGGCCGAGAATGCAAATAAGTCAACCGGGGGGGGGGGGGGCATGAGAATGACAAAAAATTAATAAAACGATAGCAAGAAGGCAAAAACAAATAAAAAAGAAATACGTGAAAAAAGAAAAGAATCTGAAAAATAACCGCCAGCCCAGCCTTCTGAGCTGGCATATTATTGTTGAGCTATGAAAGCAGAAAAAGCCAATTCACGAAAAAGCAAAGCTAATTAAGACATCACGGTGGGGACGTTGACGACCCCAAAAGCCTGCAAGCTAGCAAGCCAGCCAGCACTTGTAAATTTTCTTTTGCTAAATATTTGCACTTCTGCATTTCCACCGTAACTTTTTCAGCTACTTTTTCTCTTTCGTTATTTGTTGTATGTTTGTAAATATGTAGCACAATCATTTGTGTCGCACATTAATCACATGACTGCCGGCAGGCAATCACACACACATATACGCACACACAGCTGGAAGTCATATTTGCCAAACACGAAATGACTAGCGGACATTTTGTCGCAGAATACGCAAAACTATGCAGAGGCTATAGAGCAACTAGTACGGGGAACTATTCGGTTTGTGAATTGAAAACACAAGTTGTTGAGGAAAGTCGGCGATTTAGGGCAGCGCACTATGGGGCCAGGAAGGATTCAAAACTGGCAAAAATTCAAAATCTTATCTGATTGGCTTGTCACTCGGTGGTTTTTTGGGTTGCTGATTACGGGTTTGGTGTAAGATTGGAAAAATTCAAAATGGCGGATTTAATATGACGAGCGATATTTGTTTTTGGGGTCGTTGATTAAGGATCTGACATTAGATTTTAAAAGTTCAAAATGGCGGACGATATATATTGAAAATCGATCGGATTAGCTTCAACCCTTTTACTCACGATTTTTTGTGGCCGCTGATTGCGAAAACAAAACTCAGAATTCAAAAATTCAATATATGGGATTCAATATGGCGGACACATTTTTTAAATTTGTTGAATTTACTTGAAGATTGTTTCGTCGTGGTCAGAAATTGTAAATTTGGAAGGAAATTCTGACAACTGTCTTTCAACTCACCATCGTCCTTCGAAAAACAAAAGTCCTTCGTAAGACAATTGTCAACTATGTCAATTATCTTAACGTTATGCTGTGGGCCTTTTAGCAATGAATTTTTAAAAATTAAATTAAATAAAAAGTATATATACAGAAAATTAAATGAGAGAAAAATTAGTAAAACAAAAAGGAAATAGTACGTAAAAGTTAAATTAGATTAAAAATAATTTTATTGAACAAATTTAATGAATGGTTGTTTAAAAAGAATATATTTTTATGTTCATTTAATTTTAAGGAACTTATTGTTTTCTTTTTTAAATAATCTTTTTTTTCGTTTTTTAGTTAAATTTTCTTTTAATTTTTATAGTTTTAATTGTGAATAATATTTGTTTTTTAATTTCATTTACATTTCATAAATATATTTTTTCTGTTTTAATTAAATTTGATATTCTTCTGTTAAATTTGTTTTTCTTTAATTTTTAGATTTTATTGTTTTAACCCTCATCGGTCCCCCCAAAAATTTGTCGAATTCGTTCTTGTGTAGACGCTCGTATATAAACAAATCTGACTATTCCTATCAGATTTTG